ATGATGCATGGGCATAGGGCAGTTTTTCCAATGTAATGCTCTTCAGGACTCCAATGCAATTACTTTTTCCAAGGTAGTAAGTTAACTGAAGGAACCAGAATGCTATACATGGATCTATGTGTTAGGTGTCATTTAATTGTTCCATTAAGATTTTGTTTTGCCCAGGAGGAAAGGGTAGACAACAAAAAAGCAGGAGAGACAGGCAAGTAATACTCCCATCTTCCAAAGAGTAGGACAAACTTTTAAAAGCAAACTACATTTTAAAGTGGAGGTCAAGGCAACTTTGTTTTTATCTGCAGCAGTCCTTACCCCCATTCAATGTGCTTAACCTTTCGCATTATTGCTTTGCAGCAAGCTGCACTGACATATCAGGAACTTCATCTCAGCTCCTATAAGCAGAAGTGGTGGATCCTGTACACTTGCGATACCAGAGCGTACACTGGAAGTAGAACCTCGCAGACACCAGCAGCTCTCCACCTCTACCCTTAGAGGCCGATTGTCATGCCTACTACAGATCTCCCTCTGTCATGTAATTACATCAAATGTTACCAACTTGAGCATCTTCAGCAATCCGCATTCCAGGCTGCATCTTGTGAAAAGGGATTTTAAAACATAATTTTATAGAACTTTCAAAAGGTTTTTTGTTATAAGAGAAAGTTTTTAATGCATGTGCTGAGCGTTTCTCTAGTGCAACAGTTTTTTTTTCCTGGTGCCTTGACTCGCACTCAGTGAAACTAAACTCAGGAAATAACCCTTAAATAAACATTCAAGAACCTTAACTCTTAACAAAACTGTATCATATTTGTGTATCGCTCGGCTGTAGATCCTCAAATCATCTCTGAATTGGTGCTGACACTGTCCTTCCTTCTGGAGGGTGGCTTCTTTTGTTTCCCATGGTCCCTGTGTGTGTTGTAATGTAGTGACTGCTCCAAGCTCACTCCAGTGATGGACTACGACCTTAATAAAAATTAGCTAACTAAAGGTGAGATTGTAGTCCATCACAGGAGTGAGCTTGGAGCGGTGACTACTTTACAACACACACAGGAACCATGGGGAATAAAAGTAGCCACGCTCCAGAAGGAAGCACTAATTCACAGGTGATTTGAGGATCTACACCTGAGTGATACACACATAAGATACATTTTTGTTAATAGCTGAGATACTTGAATGCATTTGTAGGGTTTACCTGCTGAGTTTAGCGTCACTTTAATAAAAATAAACTAGAGATTTATCTTTGCAAAATGTTAATTTAGCAGAAAATGTCTTCATATAGTCACTTACTTTTTATTACTCCAACATGAAAGTATTTAGATTAGGCTTTTTTCGACTGTAGATATGAAAACCACTGGCCGCCAAAAGAAAAACTGTGACAACTCTCGAATCCAGCTTCAAACACACAGGGGCAGCTCCTCACAGTCAGGGTAAACCGGTTATCTAAAAGAACAGAGCAAAAGGAGCGCCTGCATAGTGTAAAACAAATGTAATAAAAGTAAAATACAGCTGGAAATGTACTTACAACTTGTGAAAAACGAGCATTGAATACAACGGTCTCAAGTGGATCAAGATGAACAAACGAAAGAACACAGTGCAGAAATCGGAAGAGTGTTTAAGCCAGGGCCAGTTCATTAGGAAAGAGGTTTAACCTCTGAAACGCGTCAACCGGAGGAAGATCGGTGTCTAGATGGCCCTGGCTTAAACACTTACTCTTCTGATTTCTGCACTTCGTTCTTTCGTTTGTCCATCTTGATCCACTTGAGATCTTTGTATTCAATGCTCGTTTTTCACAAGTCGTTTGTAAGCACATATCCAGCTGTATTTTACCTTTATTAAATTTGTTTTACACTATGGAGGCGCTCCTTTTGCTAGTTTTTTTTCGACTGTAGCCTAATCACTGCAGACCACAACAATTCTTAGATAGGCACTTCCGAATAAAATGTAGACAGGTTTCATATTTTTTTTTTTTAACAATGAGGGACTTTGGTATTAAATATAATTAAAAAAATACCACTCAAAGTACAAATAAAAAAAATGTAAACAGTGCAGTAGATATTTATGGATTGACCCGTATGAAGCCACGGAGGTAGAAAAACCGTGGCAGAGATTGGGCCCAATTTTTTTGAATCTCTCTTTCTCTGCATTAATGAGAAGTGAGCACATATACACATGTATAAAAAAGAAAAAGAAAAAAATACTGGTTTCATATGTAGAATTTTAAACTGCTAGATGAGATCTGTCCTTTTAGAAATCTCACTCTGACAAGTTACAGATGGGTAACCACAGACTGAATCTGTGCTGATAGATTGTTCCCGAATGCCAGGTTGTTATTCTCGATGTACAAGGACAAACAGTCCAAGCAGGAACAAAACTGCATACTGAAAAAAGAAACATGAAAAAAAAAGTTAGTTTTTGTAATGCAATATATTTAGGGCTTGTTCACACCAAATGAAGACCAGAGCTGCATGAGTTTCTGCACACGCAGTGCAGTGTGTTATGCCGCCTTTTTGATAGTTCAGGGCCGTTTAGTTTAAAATGGGCTTTCAGTGCGCTCCAGGGCATTTGCATGCGTTTTTGATGCGTTCGCATGCGTTCCACAGCAGGAAAAATAGGGCATGCTGCAGTTTTTTTTACATGCTCTGGAACTGAACGCTGCGGTGTTAACTAGAGCCCAAAATACCATTGGAATGCTCTGCTCCTGGAACACGTTTGGTGTGAACAAGCCCTTAATGTTCAAAATCTACCTGCAAATGGGAAACAGCTTTATGTAACAAACTGACCCAAATGTAGACTATAAAGGAACATACAAAGACTTCCTCAGTAAAGAATTCTTATTTTAGGTACTCATTGTAAATCCAGTTACCCACAGCAACCAATACAAATTCACTTTAAAAATTAAATTCAAGTTTCTAATTGGTTTCAATTTAGGAATGAACCTTCAGCAACCAATAAGTATTCACTCTGCAAAAGCCAGACCTCAAACAAGCTTTCGATTAAACATGTTAAAAGGATTTAACTTGCCAAACAAGTTTATTTTTCATTATGCAACAGCAAACAACAAAGTGATCTGTTATACAATGACAGGTAGGTAGGTGTGTGTGTTTGTGTGTCACGCATTCACAACCTGTAGTTACAATAATCTCCTCTCTTTTCGGTGGCATGTCTGATCTCATTGAATAGAGAGAGATCTTATTTTTAATTTGCAGGCAAAAATACATATGTGGGGGTAAATCATCTTGAAATTTCAGCTCTGAAACACATTGCTGAATATGATAAATTGGTTTATAAAACTGAACAAAACACCTTAAGCAATAGTTACGTTACATGTGGGTATATCTTCCAGACACTCATCTGAGCCAAGGAAGCCACTTAGATCTTCAACATTACAGAACACATTCAACTAAATGTAACCAACTACTCCTAGTGATAAACATGAGCTGGATAAATGACAATCTTCACAGAAGTGGGGTTTTACCTTACCACAGGACATCATTGCCTTTCCATCTAACTAAACTTGTTTTTGAGATCGGACATAGTTTCATGTTGTTTAGCAAATCCAATTAACTGCAAATACAGATACTAATTTTACCATCACCTACACGTTCCAAAACTATTTTGTCTTCTCCATTGTACAAACAAACAATTTTCTATCCTAATATTTTAGAATAACCTAAACACAGAAAAAATAGGATTTTGGTACTCACCGTAAAATCCTTTTAAAAATCCCACGGCGGCAACGGGGAGCGAACAAGGGGAACGATACGTGTAACCCCCTGCACAAAAGTGCGAACGAAAGCGTTGGAAGCTATCGGCAGGAATGCGACTCCGCCTTTAGCAGGAGGTCATCCAGGTACCCCACCACCCCGACCGCAGCGCCAGGAACCTGAAGGAAATACTGTGACTGGGTGGCCGAGACCCCCAGTCATATGCACCCCCCTGGGACGAACCCACAGGTCACCCCGCCCGAGCGGGGCCGCCGCAGGTGACCCACCGCAGCGGGTCTGCATGCGTTCGCTGGTCATCCAGGGGAGACTCCAAGGATCCAAGACATCCAGCCTGTCGCCCGGATAACAATTGCTAGAAGATCTGAAAAAAATCAGGAAGAAGCAGGTAAGAATACCCGAGAAAAAATTCTTAGCTCCTTACTGCTGACGCTAGGCAAAAAACTGGGGACTTGTCAGCAGGACGGGGGTTTGGCCACCGGCAGGGGCCGCCCCTAGGTTGTAATTGGTCTTTAGTTTTGTGCCTAGCGTCCTTCTCCTGCAGGTGGCGATATTACCCTACAGTACATGATCTCCGATCTGTTCCCTGTGTCCTTCAATGAACGGGAGAGAAAAAAAAACAGATTACCATACAGCTTCAACCCCAGATGCTTCAAATGGAAAACATGATTACTTCTTTGAGAAAGGAAAAAATCTTACCTTAAATTTAGGGTAGTCGTTCATGAGAATTGTAACAATTCCTATATAGGGCACAAACCTGAAAAATAAGAAACGGAGTACATAACGCATTATTATAAACTATTATTATATCATAAACTGTTACATCATATTTACAAAGCCTAATACAGTCACCTCCTGAACCATATCCTTGAGCCCACTAAAGTATCTGTTCATATAAAGTAGGGATGTTCAGATACCAAGTGCTGTACTCGGTACAAGTACAAATACTTTTCCAGCTCCAAGACTAGAATAGAGAAAAACTCAAAAGTTAAGAGGCAGCTGTCATGTGTAAGGAGCACACGGAGCTCCTGGGATTTGTACATCTCTGTTTTAATGTACGATTTGTTTTATATGAAAGAATATATAAAAGGGATGCACCGATACAATTTTTTCAAGTAAAAGTACTGATATTTGTCCAAGTCCTCACAGATATAAGTACTGATACATTTTGTTTATTGTCTTGCGCCAGTTTTTCTAAAACAATACAGACTACAGTGTATGTTGTGATAAAAGTAAACCTGTAAGTAAAAAAAAAAAAAAGCAAACAAACCAAAAAAAAAACACTACCAAAATTTTCTGCCAGTGCAGCTCTGAACATTTCAGTGACATTATTGCCTACAATTTTACACATGAAGACATTCAAGACATAAAAGACTGGGGCTGCAACTAACAATTATTTTTATAATTGATTAGTTGGCCGAATATTTTTTTGATGAATCGATTAATTCAGATTAAAAATAAAATTAACTACTACCCTTAATTTAACATAAAATATAGAAATGGTGTTCTACAAACAAAGTTTACTTCAGAATAAAACGGCATACCCTATTGTTTGCAATCGCAAATTCCACAATCTTTTTTTCTGCAGCCCCAGCACTCAATGAAGAGGAAGCACGGAGTACAGAGGCCTCCTGTTCATTCATAAATCGAGGAGATAGTAAAGAGATACTATGAGCACAATCATGAATGAACAGGAAGTGATGTAGAGCACTTCCTGTTCATTCATAATTGGGGACATAGTATCTGAATAATATGTCCTCAGTTATTTACAAACATCGTACTGGTCACTGCGATGTTTGAATATTACAAGGAAATATTTGCTAATCGTCTCGGAGCTCTCGTCTCTGCACCACCACCCTTGGCGCCTCTAGATAGCTTTCTCCTCCCTTTTCGCTGGCAGGAGGATCAGCTTTGTGTCCCCCTCCGATCCCCGCTGCCTCTGCCAATACAGGTGGGGAAGAGCAGCGGGGATAGCACTGGCTGCAGAGGTCTGTGTCCCCTTCGATCCCTGCTGGGAGCAGCAGGGATTGGAGGGGATACAGAGCCGAGGAAACACTGGCTCCCAGCGCGGAGGAGAGAACTAGGGGACCCAGACCAACTAATCGATAATGAGAATAGTTGACAACTATTCTCATTATCGATCAGTTGGTTGCAGCCCTATAAAAGACATCGTAACAATCAGTGCTAAAAGCTAATGAGGAAAGAGCAATTCACAAAGGACAATCGTACAACAACCAGGAGGCCTAACAAAAGTTACAACTGGTATCTTTAAAAAAAAACAATTTTGGGCCTTCTTTAGGGGCCCATTCAGACTACGTACATCAATGCATTGGTGCATGTTGTGTGGAAGTGCAATTCACAATGAATAGAACCCTACCATGCCGTACAGCAGCGGGCAAGGCACATGCACCATCACAACGAACATAACTGGGGGAAATTATCCAAACTGGGGGAGACAATCTGGAGCAGTTGCCTAGGGCAACCAATCAACTTCTCTGGTCAGTTTGCTCAGTTAAGATTTGAAAATAAAAGAGAGAAGCTTATAGGTTGTCATGGGCAACTGCTCCAGATTTTGATGAATTCCCCTCAGCGTGTTTTGCAGTAGGCTGCATTATATTGTTAAAAAAAAAAAAAAAGTTAAATACATTTTGCCTGCTTTGTGATAATTGGGCTGGCATGTTCTTTGCCAGGGAGCTCCTTTCCAAACTGTTGCCTTTCCTCGAGTCAAAATTGTACTTTGCTAAGCAGCCAACTCCTCATGTAACAATGTTTGGCCTGGCAACTGGTTGCTAAAGCAATGATTACCATACGCTTAAAGTGATTGTTTTGTTTAAAAAAAACGTTAAAAAAGGAGTCCATAGAAAATACATAGGTAATGCTCACCTGCCCTGCTGCCCATGCCGCTGATCTTCGTTCTGTTTAAGACCTACTGATGCCAGAAGAATCTACACTCCAATAATGTAGGATATCTACATTATTGGAGTGTAGGATTCTCGGTCCCCCCTGCACTGTGGTTCCTCCTGTTGACCCTTATGTTACAGGACATAGGGGGCAATGTATGAAACCAGAGCATGCAGTGGGGAACATGCGTTGGACATACAGAGAAGTGTGTCGGATGAGGAAGATTCTTTGGCATTAGTAGTGAAAGAACAATCGGCAGCATGGGCAGTGGGAGAGGTGAATACATTGCTTGTTCTTTTACAAGGAAGATTTTATAAACCAACAGTCACTTTAAGCACAGGTTTCTACTGGAGCTCTCCCTCTATCTATCCATCAATAAACCACCGCAGGAGGGAGCTGCAGAGCATTGGCCTGCTGCACCCTGGGAACTGTAGCCCCAAGAGGCAATGTCAGCGCCTTGGTGGTTACTGGGCCCAGGCCCTCATTCCTTTCTGGGCCTGTTAACCGCTTAGGTGCTGACATTGCACCATTGCAGCGGTGGTTGATACTCGCCAGGGCCCAGTCGCACATGAGACCGATGCAACCCTGGAAGTTGCACCAGTGTTAGCTATTGTTCAGCATCGGGAAAATTGCCTCTGTCTAACCTGCCCGTTCCTGCTGCCAGAACCACACTGCAGGCTGTTGCATGGGAGGACTGCCTTCCCCATCATCTGCTGGAGACACACATGGGGGAAAACCATGATCAGAGCAAAGCCTGGCTGCTGTCTCACCTTCACTGATGACGCAGTCAAAGTCTAGCCCCCTGCTTGGAAAGCCTAGCACTGCATTCTTCAGCTAAGTTCAGTGCTGCAAACTACCAGGAGCTGCTTCTGGCTGATGTCCTCTGGAGCAGAGCTCAGTGTGTTCACTGCACAGAGATCTATTAAACATGGCATCCCTTTAGCCGTGTATCTTCCTCCACATCCCTGGCAGCCTCTGGTGTTGCGTTGGGGGTGATTAGGGTGTGCCCAGGCGCGCACACACACCTTGCGCACGCCTACGTTTACTACCTTAGACAATAAAGAAACTGCCCTCTATGGATTTAATAATGGATAGGCATACAGAACAAGAAGAGTGTGTATAGGTTTCAAGCTCAAATGCATATGGACAACTGTACTGACCTTGCTCCATCATCGGCATGCCACAGTTAAGCAACTTTCATTTTGACTAAGCTGAATAAAATGCCATTGAAACAGTCACTGAGATATAATTATAATGCATGTCAATGCAAGACAAGTACACAGTAGCTATCAAGGCCAAACTAGGATAACAAAAGAATACTGAAACACAAACACGACATATCCAAAGCTGCTTGAAGGACTCCGGGGATAAGAGCGCACTCTGAATTCATGCCTTGGCTTAGCAGATGTGAGTAAGAGATGTGCTTGCATTATGTGAGAATTATTCATGGTGTGTTAATGATGCGAGTCACTGACAGTGACCTATGGATGCATCAGTGCTGAACTGTTAATAAATCCTGTGATTCTCCTCTACAAATGGTATACATCATCAGTGCATGACTGTGTAACATGAATCATTGAACTGGGTAACAGTGGGGGGTTAAGAAGATATGAGCATACTGGATTAGGGAAATTATTGTTTAATATACTAAAATAAATAAAGCTAGATTTACAAATATTAGCTGTACACCAGCAGACGCACAATGGTGTTTGTGTAAGGGATCCCGATGTTCATAAATCAAGAGCCTGCTCAAAAACTCAGTTTACCTTCAGAGCATCCAGGAATCTCAAAATGTACTCTGTTAAGCAATAATCAATCACAGTGTTCTGGTCCATACCTGCCCCCTTCCTGCTCGCCCACAACACCTTCCTACTGACTGCAAAGGCTCTCGCCTAATGGCTGTTAGGGGCCTCCCCCATATCAGAAGGAATGCGCATGGTTAATATTTGCTCAATAAAGTGTTGGGGCACTTTGAAACCCCCAGGCTTTAACCTTTTTTTTAAAAGAAGTACCTGTTTTATGGACCTGGGGCCATCATCAGTGGCAGGAACAATCGCCATAGCGACCCAGGCGGCCGCTATGGGGCCCGGGGCATCTCAGGCTGCTGGCTGTCACTGGCAGCTGTAAGGAGGAACGTGTAACTGTTCAGATCTCTGACAACCTGTCAGTGATCTGTGCAACTGCGTGTTCCTCCTCACAGCCGTTGCTGAGTCAGTGACAGCCAGTAGCAGCTGCGGAGCAGGAGGCAGGGCCCAGCGTTGGCAGCGGAGGAGGCGGACAGCGGATCGTGGCTGACAGGTAAGAGGTGTGAAGGGGTGTGACCAGCCCACCTGAGACCCTGCAGAGCCCACCATAGAGACTCTATGGTGGGCTCTGCAGGGTCACTTTTAGGTGGGCTGTTTGGGATATCAGTTGGGCTCTGTAAGTGGTGTAACTAGAATTCACAGGGCCCCATACAAAATTTCGCTATGGGGCCCCTGTGATTTCTAGTTACGCCCCTGGCCATCATAAAGGGCCCGAAGAATGCCCAAAGGATTCAATAAATTAATACAGTTAATATTTACCTATAGTAGCTCAAATACATACAAATCATATTAGTTTAGAGATGATGGAAGTAGTCTATTTAGCCACCACCTCAGATTTAAAAATAGAGACTGAATCAACTCCTCTTATTAATTTGGGGACCAAGTTAAGCAAAATAAACTTAATATAAGATACAGAATCTGATTTCTTAACAAAATGAATAGGCGCTGGTAGAGTTATCAATACTTGATGGAAAAAAAAGGTGTTTGACCTTACGTCTTTTCTGAGCAACATACAGAAGTCCCAGAAAGTCAAGGCACAACCAAACATCATAAAAGATGACTGGCGCACCTGACACATTTCTTTAAAGGTTACTGTTTCTATCTACTTGGGTGTAAAGGCAGAACTGTTCATTTGACAATCAACTATGCACACAGGAATGAACCATTGTTTAAAACCAAAAACGG